TGTCATCTATTTCTACCCAGAATTCAGCTTTAAAGGTTTAGGAAGCTGTCAGTAACAGGACAGCAAATCTATGGTACATTATCTATTACATGCCTTGTATTGTATGTATTACAAGTTCTCCCCTCTGCCCTACCATTGCCTCAATCCCTTCTCCCTCCGCCCCAAGTCCCTTTAAAAAGTTCTGAATGCCTGGGGAGGTGGGAAGGATTGGTGATCATGTGATCACTGTGATTGGCTGCCACAGTGATCACATCATTGGGAACCATTCCCCCCCCCCCCCCCTCCCCCTGCATACTCCTCTATCGCCAGCATTACAATGATGCCAAAACAGGATAGTGGTGTGCTTCACAGCAGGACATCGAGGCATCTCTGATGTCAGCAAGACAACTGTTTGCTTGGCTCACAGAAAGTGATTACCAGTCACTATGACAGGAAATAAGGGCTTTATTGCATAAAAAGGTCACCTATGAATATGAACCACTAAAAAAACTGAAGACCCCTACCTAATTTTTCATCTTTTTGCTCAATTGTTCACTTAAAGCGGCATTAAACTCAACACCAAAAAAAATGTAATATATTGCAGCTTACCAATCATTAGATGTAGTGGCTGTATTATTTTTTTTTTTGGCTTTTCACCAAATCTGTCCAATAACAAACCTCCTGTATTACACAGACACCACTCTGAATGAGGAACACAGGGAGCAGATCTGGACAGCATAATTGTCAGTCTGGGTGGAGAGGAGTGTTAGGAGTATTAGCAGATGTAAATACACTAAATAAATTGAAGCTGAACTTCAGCTAATGCTTTTATAATCAGCTACAGCAAACAGCTTTTTCCTTTTGGGATAAAGATTTTACATAAACAAGGGCGCACTCTCATCGTGCATTACTGTGGTATACCACGTCATTTATTAAATAAAAAAGGATGTATACTCACAAACCAACGTGATTATAGGCAGTATGAGTGATCCACAAAAACAGTCACAATACAACTGTGTCTAATGATGCGGATATTCTGACGCGTTTCGGGGGCTGAACCCCTTCTTCAGAGGTTCAGCCCCCAAAACGCGTCAGCTTATCCGCATCATTAGACACAGTTGTATTGTGACTGTTTTTGTGGATCACTCATACTGCCTATAATCACGTTGGTTTGTGAGTATACATCCTTTTTTATTTAATAAATTACGTGGTATACCACGGTAATGCACGATGAGAGTGCGCCCTTGTTTGTTTTCATTTACCAGTGGTCAGATTTCCCGATCTCAGAAGGGCAGCACCTCTTCGATTGGCATTTTGGCAATTCCTTGGTTTGCATGAAGATTTTACATAAATAAAAGGTGATCATTGTAAATATCCCTGCCAGTGGTAAATGGTCTGTCTCACCCCTGCAATTGCAAGACAGCATTTCTGTTGAAAAACAACAGACTTACTGGCTAGATCACCAGATGAAAGCAGAAGAAAGCCCTAAAAGGAAAATTATGCACCCATTACATCTAAGAATCGGTAAGCTGCAATATAATAGAGGTTTGCTTTTGGGTTTAATACCACTTTATGTTGTAATAAAATGTGCACTGAATTTGTTTTCAACTGAATTTATTCTGAGTTAAAGAATGGATAGGTAAGCACTACTGATGAATAATTCTTATGAAAAAGCAATGTAAGCATTCTCCCCCTTTTTTTCTTCTTCTTTTCTGGTTTACGTATTAATGTTTGGGATTGGTACATACTATTACTCTATATTTGTAGTTAAGAAAATTATAGCAATTTTAAAAAGACCAGGTAAAAAATAAGAAGTTGTTTTTTATATAAAAATATAGGTATGTATATTTTTGCCTTTTTTCTGTACATCAAAATGTTTGATTGTAAATTTTGTTTTTCCTCCCTGTATATTACAGATATGAAAATATTAAAAAAATGGATTCAAAAAATTGTATTGAAAAGGTATTGCATATTGTACTTGCTACTATAATATTATAAGCTGAATTCATTTATCGAATTTGGAGAATGGATCTTTCTTTTGTCACCACCTCCATTGTTGTATGTTGCAAGTATTTTTGATAACAACAGAAACTAATAGGACCTCTCAAAACACCTCTTAGGAGGCAGCTGAAGAACACTGAAAAAAAGACTTTGTACATCCATTAACAGATATATTTACCCAGTAATTTTAAATTAAGTAAGAAACAAAAAAAAAAAAAAAAAAAAACAACAAAACAATTTTATTTCCAGTGTTTAAGTAGGTATGCACACAGGCATGGTACAAGGTGGTAAAAGATCTTCATGCAGAATTGTATTCTTTTCAATGAAAGAAACCAGTTCCACCCAGGATTTACTATCTACATGCCTATCATACAACATTTATATCAAATCTGGTATCTGAAGAAAAGATACACAATGTAATATATACATTAAGTTACTGTATCTTACAGAAAAAGATTAAAAATTCAAGTCACATAAAACTCAAAAGTCCATATTAAAAGTCGGTATATATGTATATATAAAACTTGAAGGGTCTATTGGAATGTGTAACCAATGGAAGCTCTGAATCCCAACTGTTAAAATCTGCAAATGAAACCTGGAAAGTGAGAGAATGGTCTATTTTTGTTCACAGTAGGTTCCTCTAATTAGCCGGTAACAATATGGCACCCTAACACACCACATGATTTTATAATGAGGCACTTTTCCGAGTGACTAAATTAAAAAGAAATAAAAAAAAAAAAAAGACATTGTTACATGGTGAACATCTGCTATTGAGAAAACCTCAGGTTACAGAAAGAAGGTATGTACAACAGCTAAGGATAAAAAGCATTTTTGTTCGACTCCGTTATGCGCTTCCCATAGAGAAGGTGTTGTATTATTCTGGCTGTAGCTGAGCTCTGCGAAGACGTTCCACAGGGCCAATGAATGAATTCAGCCTCAATACAGGCTGCAGGAAAAAAAAATATACATATATATATATATTTATATATATATATAAAAAAATAATTCAGGCACAAACCTAAAACACACTGGAAGTTTACTTCAAATATAGGCAAAGTGTTGCTCACTGGCTGTTGTGGAACAATAAAGGTTCCATCAGCAACTAAGACCGACAAGTTTGGCTATCTCAGAACTTTACAGGACCGCTCAGGGGAACAAACCACAACTCATCGGCATCAGGCCAAGTGAAAACGATTTGCCTAGCTCTGAAGTTAGAACGTATGTGTGGGCAAAATTTAAAAAAAAAAAAAAAAAAAAAAATAGAGTATATTCAATACATCTTTGTAGTGCATGCACAATTCCCCTGTTCATCCCTTTATAAATGCTGTACGTTCAGAAAATGCCTGTTGCTCCTGCATTATTCTATTTTCCTGCAGTGAGCTGACAATGTTGCCTCTGCCCAACTGAAACCTCATGCAGTGTTGTCAAACCTGTCTGCGTTCTTTCCCTGCTGAATTTGAAAAACTCCCCCTCTTATTATAGAGATAAAAAGGGGTAGGTGTTCTGTAGCTCAGAAAGGGAGAACTGAGCAGGCCTTGGAATTTCATTACAGCAAGGGCAACATTGACAAGGAGTTAGGAGGGCACTGAATTTCTGGATCACAGGTGTTCTACAGTATTTTTAAAGAGACACAACACAGGGAAATGAGCACATCCTGCAGAAAAACTTTTTTTTTTTCTTCTTTGAATTTGCCCGTACATACACATTTAGCAGACTGCTTGAGACATTTTTCTCTCTCCATGAGTGTAATGAAATGTGGAATTTATTTATAGGTACTGGTAGAACCGGGATCGAACTACCTGAGTACCGGACAACTTGTGCGGATGAGCATCTACAGCAGAACTAAAGTTGCTCTTTGCTTTGTTCTGGCAGTTCTCCCCATTAAGTTGATCAGCTGAAGAATGGGACGTAAGTTCGGACTGGTTTTCCGTTACGTCGCTGGTATCGGTGGAGCTGACTTGGGATGAAGATGACACAGGCGGAGCGGTTGATGTGGGTTCCATTAACTTAGTGTTTTCTAAAACCAGCTCAGCGGTGCTAATGGCGTTGAGTTCTGATGTGCTAGTGCGTAAGCGTTCTCGTTTGAGCCATGCTGAGATCGAATGGTCTTGGGATGTACACTTTGGCTTCAATCGATCCACGGCAGAAAGTTCTGACTCCTTACCTCCCTGAAGGGGTTCGTAAATTTTTAATGTATTTAAAACACTTAATTCAGAAAAGTCTCTCTGTCCCCCGAGCGTGTGTCTCCGCCGAATGTTTTTCTTCTTCCGGTTTTCGGCGGCATGTGCTTTTTGGCTATCCAGTCCAAACATGTCGTCTGCTGAGGTTTTCAGACGCAGTTTAAGCCTATCTGTGATCTTAAGCTTCCAAGCAAGCTCCGGCTCATTTTTTAACACTAAGCCCAAGTCACTTTTTACTGAGTCCAAATTGCCAGATGGCACTCCAGTTCCGGCCGCCTCCATGACAAGAGATATCGCGGAGGTGTCCACATTCTTGCCATCAGTTGAACATTCACTATCTGTCTTTTGTCGTGGAGACTTTTTCCTTGACAAAGTGTCACATTCTATAAGTTTATGAGAGCTAAACCGCCGACTGTCCATTCGGGGGGTGGTACTTCCCTCCGTACAACTGGCACTTCCTTCAGAGTTCCGTCGGCTACTTCGAGACAGTTCTTTTACTTTGCCTTGGCTCTGCTTGTCATAAACATTGCTGGGACAGTCGCTTTCGCTGTCCGTTTCCATGGGCCGGCCTTCGCTAATTAGTTCGCTCCTTTCATCATCTGCATCCTCGCCTTTGCTCTCTGCTACAGACTGGACCTCGGGACTCATTAAGCTTGGCTCCAGGCCAGCTGTGTAGAAGGCGGACGAGGTGGTGGAGTAATCGGAGGTAACAGAGCTCACCTCTGCAGACAAGAAGTCATTGCCTTTTACTTCAGGGGTGATAAAAACATTAGGTTTTGGTTTGTGCACGGAGGCCTGGGATGAAGTGCTAAGTACAGTTCCTGAATCGGAAATGCTTTCTTGGGAAGGAAACATCTTTGTGTCATCGGATGGTACAGTGAGTCTTTGCATCGGATTTGGAGATTTGGGGGGTTTTGGAGGACAAGGAGGGATCTCGTCAGAAGGCGTACTGTCCTTCCTAAGTTTATCTTCTGTATACAGACTTGCATCTGTGTCCTTTAATGTCAGTGCTTTAGGTTTTCGAGGGATGTTTCCCTCTTTTTTAGTTTCTCCTTTTCTGCTCTCAGGCTTCCGAAGTTCCACTGGGGAGAGATCCTTTTTATAAAAAACGCTATCCACCTCATCCTCTGAACTGCTTGGATGGGGCTTATCTTTTTGTTTCCTGCGTTTTCGACTGGCAGCTGCAAAGATGGAGGATACTAGCAGCTCCCGACTATACTGATCTTTTCCGGATCCCCAAGAACCCTGTGAAATATAAAATACAGAAATTGGGAAAACAGAACTTAAATATGCACATTGCATTTTCTACTTTATAAAAAAAAGTGATAAGTCTCTTTAACCACCAGCTGTCCGGGGCAGTTTTAACATTTCTCACATTTGTGATAAAATCTGCATTTTTTTGCTAGAAAATGACTTACAAATTAAAGAGTCGGGCTGAGTGCTTCTCCACCATTCAGGAGAAGCCTTTTATTTTTATCAAACGAATACAAAGCAATTGGCGAGGTGGAGAGGCAGGTGGATAACATCACGATTTCCACCTCTGCCAATAAGAGGAAGCCCTGTACTCGTTATTGAAAATGCAAGGCTTCTCCTGAATGGTGGAGAAGTACTCCACCCCATTCTCTTTAATTTCAGCAGCAGAAGGGTAGTCGCCCGTAATGCTGCCTGAACACAGCGCCCCTTACTGTAATATAGCTAATGCTACTAAAGTATATTATAGCACACACAGCGGCCTTGTTGTTCTGTAATGGAAGTGGCTTGGCCCAAACAATTTAAAGTAAACCGAAAACTGGAATTCTATTTTAAGCGACGATGTGCTTTGCCCCATCCCCCCCTCCTTACCCCCCGCAGTAATTTATATTTACCTTCTGATTGTTCCGCCACTCCATTACTTCCAGGAGTAGAAAAGGCCTGGTATATAAGCTCTAAATCTGTCAGTCAGAGCTTTCACTAGGTTGATGACTCTCTCCTAACCCCTATGTGACAGGCGATGCGTGGCCAAGGAATGAGTAGCAAGTCATATGCACCCCCATACAGGGAAGTATTGTGAATTTCTATTTGCTCCTGTGGGCAGAGCAATTTATAGAATCTTTTACAATACAAAAGGAAAAAAATCATAAAATAATGATATAAAAGTCTATCATAAACTGCTGACAAAGACACCTAACCAACAAAATATTTTGCCAATCTTCCTATATTTAGTATGAATGAATATTAAGCATTACACACAGCTCTTTGCACAGTCCAGGTCTTGTGTTTTTTTTTTTTCATTACAATGTCTCAATAGACAAATTACTAGAACCCAGAAAACAAATTACAAATTCCAATATAGAAGAATCCTGACATACCTTAGATTTTGCTGAGTCACTAGTAGCGGAATCTGCAGAACAAGACAAAAGAGATCGGCTGTCAGTCACGTATGATGGCGAGGAACACAATGGCGACAAATAATGCAAGGCTTCATGGAAAGGACAAGCACAGAACATAATGTGTCAAAGCAAAAGAAAACAAAGGGGATAGTCATAGCTCACAAAAGATGCAAGCTCCACCACAGAAAGCCACCGCCATGAAAGGATGCTGTGAATTGTAGGCAGAACCAGCTCAATGAGAGGAATGGCAAGGAACCCTGTTCTTAAAAATAAAAACAAAAACAAGAACACTGAAGTTTAAAAGACCCGTCTAAAGCGTACTAATTTTTGTGGCAGACTCCCAGAAATGAAGCAGCTATAAGTTCTAAACACGAAACACACAGGCCTAGTCTAGCAAGGGGCTAGCCGTGTGGATCCGTGGCACCGGAACACACAGAGGGGCTCAAGCTGCAGACAACATAAACTGCAGAGCTAACACAAAATTACCTCTAACTGCTGAGAAGTCTAAGTCTCATTAAATTAATGGGCCCTACGAGAACATGTGACTAATACAGACTGTTCTAGGTCAGGATAGCTACAGAGGCTAGCTATTCCAAATAATGCTTTCTTCAATATGTTGTGGCCTGAAGAACAATGCAGAATTGGCTATGTGGCACTCATGTCCTGTTGTGTTTACTAGATAGGATATGAAATTTCCCCAACAGGACACAAAAAAGCCTGGAGGAGCGCTTTAACCTTGTCTATACTCCATCCAAAATGAAAAACAAATTGGCTTTAGATATACTTTAAATACAACCCGCCACAAGACTTAGAAGGTGTCATTGCTAATTTTCATCTGGTAGATGCCTGGCTGTCACAGACTTTAGTAGTCTATGAATCAATGACCAGAACAAGCATACAGAACAGAAAGCACTTATCTGCATTCTTATTCTGAAAGAAGCCAAAGGGTCACAGTGAGAGCCAGGCAACTAGCTTTTCAGAAAGAGAGGTCAGCAATGCCAGTGTTCATGCATCTTTCAAGGCAGATTACCTTTAAATCACAACTGCCCCTTGTTGCTTTGTGAACTGGACAATGAAGAGCTTGGAGTCCAATGACATTTTAACAAAACTGCCAAGCTAAGTGGTATATGTGTGTAAGAATGTACAGAAAGGTCTTCTCAAGTAGTATACAATGTGTAAAAAAGAAAAACCGATCCACAAATGAATTTTAAAGCTCAATTCACCTTTCTAGAATTTCTGATATTGTATTTTTTTAAGGCAGGGCAGCAAAATCATTAACTATAATAAAAAAAAAAAATTAAATAAAAATTAAAGTGCACCTGTGCCCAGACTGTGGACATTAAACTGTTTAATTTACTAATTCACTTTAATATTCTTAAACTTCACATTTTAAAACAAGCCATCCCTGACCTCCCTAAATGCTTTTAAATTAAAATTCCAGGCAAAACCTAACTATTCTTAAAAAATCATCCTAGACATCCCCCACTCCAAACACCTATTCTGACTAACCCGTGGAAGAAAAATCTGTATACTTACCCATTTACACCCCAGTCTGGTCACGTGAGCTTCCCTTTGTCAGCCCAGTAATGACTGGTAATGCCTGGGAGCGGTGATATCACCCTTAGGCTCCTATGACCCATCCATTTTCAGTGTTCCTTCCTCTCTCTTGCAGCCGACTGAGGGAAGCTGAATCACGTGGCTGGACCGCAGGTGCCTAACAGGTGAAAACCTACACAGGTTTGTCAGAACAGGTGTTAGAAGGGATGTTAAGCAATTAGGATTTGCCCGAAAATCTCTTTTTAAAAGGATAAGTTCACCTTTCATAACATGTTATGCCCATATTCAGGGGGTAACATGTTATTGCAGCACTGGCTCCTACAATCCCCCCCCCCGATCTGACATTGTGACAGCTAGCAGGGGATCTTCTCTCCTGCTAGCTGTCACAATTAAAAAAACAAAAAAAAAAAGTGCAGCAGTGTGGCATTCCACCTGCATCATTCATTCACAGAGCTCTTTGCCTTTGCAGCTGTCGGCTTCTAGTTCTCAATGAACTACCATGGTGCTGTTGAATGCTCTAGTAGTTCATTGATTCTTCCTGTCAGTGTCAAAGTGCCTGCCTGTACTATTCACAGGCTGACAGCTCACACTGACAGTCTGTAGGAGTCCTGCATGACACCAGTGATCTGCTGATTGCTGGTGCAATGCTTTCCAGGCTCCTAAAAAAAAAAAATGTGTATGTTGTTATTTTTTTTTTTTTTTTTTTTTAAGTGAACGTATCCTTTACTGTAAAGGTAATCCTTCTCAAAGAACCTATAAAAATCAAGGAATTACGTTTTTAGTCAGTTTCTAACTTAAAAAAGATCAGCTGTTTGTTTACACGGAAGGACTGCCAGGTTGCGAAGATCTATCTTTATAGAAAATTGGATAAGATTTCAGTAAAATTTAAACATGAATTTCTCCTCAATGTTTACAGATATAACTGGTGGCTTGTTTTAAAGTGTCTTTACTGCTTGTTCAGTATATGTACTTTAGTAAACACACAGTCTGGGCACTTACTTCTCTTGTACAAACTCTTGAAGTATCAGCTGTGCTCAGGGAGAAATGTGCTGCCATGACAGACTTTTGGAGGCCTGTGCATTTTGTATCTGTCTCTATAGTTCTCCAATGCAACAAAAAATGTGTAATTGTTAAAACTATTAAGTCTGTAAAAGGTTTGCCAGTTTAGATTTACATATCTATTAACTAAGCTACAGAGTAGGAGAAACATTGTGAGGATATGTAAAGCGTTCTGCACAACTATGTGATTGTTCCTCCATATGCATTCATTCATATATCTGTGTGCGGATTTATTGATTAGAGTGGAAATGAACCGAAGGTTTGCTATGTGTTGGGGAATATCTCGAAAAATGCAGATTTTGTCTAAAATTTCTCCTGAAAAATGGCAGCGTACTTCCTGGTATGGTGAAGTTGTCTACAGCTCCACAGCAAGAAATCTTCAGTCTGAAATCTAAGACATTAAGGAGATTTGGTGCTGTCACTACTATGCTGCTTACTGTTCTCCTTGCTGGAGGCAATGAGAACATTGGGGGGGGGGGGGGGGGGGGGAAGGCGCACAGCTTTCCGATTCTCTTTAATGAAAAGTTTTTATCAATCCAAGATGTTTTCCTGGAATCACAGTGACATTTTCATATATTGGTTGTGGGCATTACCGCAAACTAGAATTGTCCTCAATTACACTTTTTACAGTCTAGAATTTAATTCATCAATTTCTGAGCACAATGGACATTTCAAGAGCTGTACCTGGCACAAAATCAGTACCAATAATATGCCACTGCCTTTGCCTTATAATATGAAATTTGTAAGAAATAAAAAAGAAATGCTTTAAATATAGATATTTCGACGTTTAGTATTGTCTTGTTCATTTTGGAAAGAGTAGGGAATGGCTAAAATGACAGTCTTTTTTTTTTTTTTTGCTGGGTCCTGTTGGGAAGATTTCCCTTCACTTTCTGTGTTGCAGATACAACAGAAGATGAAAGAAAAACTATCCAACGTGCAGGGGAATCCATATTAAACTGCTCTAATGTGAACAGGTGTTCCGGTTGTATGTCCCCCCCTTTTCTTTTGCTCCACTGACAAAAATGTGGGATTTCCCATCACTTTCTGTTCTGGTGACAAAGGTCACCAGTATGAATAAGGCGAATCTCTCTGGCAGTGACACAGACGTGACACTGCTTCTAATTTTTCCTTTCGCTATCCAAACTGTCTATAGATACACTTTAGGGTTTCACATGCAACTTTTTTTTTTTTAAACCAAATGACTTTAGTAGAGGTGAAATTAGCACTGCTGAAGTTCGCATTGTTCAGGAAACTTCCATGCAGTCTGACAGCTAGAGCTAGGTGGAATCCCCACAGCTGAAGTGTATATAAACCTGTACTGAGAAAAATATAGAGACCACCATGGTTGAACCGTCCTCCTAATATTACCTTCCTGGATGTCATGCTGAGCCAAGGACCTCAATGGTTACCAAGTCACATACTTGGAATAAGAATGCAGATCACAAATTCAGACTTGTATGCTTGTTCCACGTCTGTTTTAAGGTATTGAAGTCACAACCAGGCAACTAGTAAAGTAGGCCAGCAATGGCATCCTTCATATTTCTCTCAGTACAGGTTCTCTCTAAGAATTGTAGTAATTTCCCCCACAGCCACCAATCCTATTCAAATTCTCATATCAGCGGTCATTTTCCAGGCCAGACAGAAATGCGATTGGTGGCTTTGGAGAAAAAAAAAAAAAAGAAAGGATACCCTTAAAACAGTTGGAGGTGTGAGGCCCATAAAGCGTATAAGATGATTGCCCATTCTATACTACTGCCGTTATGAAATGGATAATGAACATCAAGTACTGTACTGCAGGGAAAGAAAACTGAGGCTAGACAAGAATAAAGAGAGCAGAAGGGGCCAGCTAATGGATCGACAACGTCAATTATGCGCTTTTTTTGTCTTTTTTTTGCAAGAGCTAAGCCCCATGCCACACCCCTTATAGACACATGGCTAATGCTTATGACCAGAAAGACTAGTAGACCATACCATGCTATCTCTCCTCAGGGTCTGCTTCAGAAATAACAAGAGATGGCAGAAAGACTTTTAAGAAAGTAGCATTGATCTGTTTAAAATACGCTGAGCAGAAACAAAGTTGTACAGTGCAGATTTTCTTTCATTCAAATTCAAAATGAGGAAATAAAAAAAAATCTGGATAAGGGAAGGTCCATTTCACAAAAAACGGGGGTTTCTGCAGACAAGGCAGCTACATTGTGGACAGCAATCCTCCTTCTTCCTACAGTTCCAGCTGTCCACAACGGACATGACAGAGTCCACTAGTGACATCACTGTGTGGTAGACTCCTCCCATTTCGCCTGTTTACATCGGTATAAAAGATCTCATATAAGACAGGGAACAACAAAAGACAAACAAACAAAATAAATAGAAAACAAAACACAAAACAAAAAAATCCCCCTGAAACTGGATAGGCTCTATATTTAAAAGGGATACTACTCAAGAAAGGAAGAGGAGCATGCTTGGTTAGTGCAGCAGCAGGTAGGTAGAAATATGCTAAGATTGCCTGTGATACTAGTACTTAGCCAAGTAATAGGTGGCAAGTGGGGAAACAGAACAAATAATTACTTTAGTACACATGTTGTAGCTGCACAGTTCAGAATTTTTAATGGGTCAGAAAAAGAAGTCAGTAACAGTCAACCAAGACTATCTTCCAATCAGCAGAAGCGGCAGATTCTCATGTGACCAATAACCAATCACCTATTCAACACTGTCTCTGCTATGGTATTCAAACAACATGTTTTCTGTATGCATGATTTACCTAGAAGGCCTTCTTGACTGCCCCCTTACTATATTTAAAATGAAATAATGGTTTTCCTGCTGTCTGGGTAACTGTTGGGCAGATTTCTAAAGACTACTTTTATCAGGACAGAAAGTGAGCCGAAACCTCCCCCAAAAGAAACACAGACAGCAGAGTTTTGTAGAGCTTCCTTTGTTTATCATTTTGTTTTTAATTTGTGCTAGAGTTCTACTTTAAAGTAAACTTGTGCTAAGAGAAATGTTTGGGGATCCATTGCTGGCTTCTCCTTGTCAAAGGGGCTGTCATGTTGGTCTAATTCTTCATCATTTCTTAATAACTTGCTGTGAATAGAAAGTATAACGTCACCCAATTGTCCCTTGATGCAGACTATAAGGGATAGCCAGGAATCCAGCATTTTCCAAAGGGGGTGAGCAAAAGTACTTTCCATATTTCTCTCAGTACATGTGCCTTTTAATTGATACCTAAGCCATACCAGGCCTATTTTCTAAGGAATGGGTGTTGCCCTTTGTGCAGATCATGATTCACTGTCTGCATGTTGGTTCTGGCTCAGCGACTCTCTAAGAAGTAAATCAAGAGCAATGACAGGCTTCCCTTTATGCTTGCTACATGGAATAATAGTCATCACATACATTTTATCTTAGTCTGAGACTTCCTTCTTCCTTGTAAGCACATCTTGGTACAGGGGTTTATTCTGGCCAAAATGTCTCCAAAAAAAAGACATTTATATAGTCGCAGCAATACTAGTAAGGCTCCATGCACACTGGAGGTCTTGATAGCGCTGGTAACGTTAGCGGTGTAAAGTCACATTAAAAACGTGAGTTTTTCAGCTTTTTTGCATTAGATTTAGAGGCGTTTTGCCATGTTTGGCGGCGTTTTCCCTCGTTTGCGGTTTTTAGCGTTTTTTTTTTTTAACCAGAATTTTTTTTTTTGTAACAAAAAGCCATCCAAAAATGCCGGTTTGCAGCATTTTACAGCATTAGAGCGTTTTTCCAGCTAAAAAAACTCCTCTAAAAACCCATTAGTCCAGAGTTTTTTTTCCAGCCAAAAAACATCGATTACAGTCTGTGTGTGTATGGACACATAGGATAACATGCTGAGGAGTTTACTGGCTGTAGAAAAAAAAACGTCAAAAGCAGCCGCTGTAAAAACATCCAGTGTGCATGAGGACTAAATGCTAACACATCAAGGTCATCGGAGTCCTTAAAGTATAACTAAAGGCAAAACTTTATTTTAATTGGTTTTGGATAAAGTGGAAATGGATTAGAATCCCAGTAATTTTTTTTTGTTGTCTGTGCCCGTTAGGGAGATTTACCCTCTATTTGTCCGGTTTACCATTATCAATGAAAGTGAAAGTAAAAGAAACCCCAAAATTATGGGTTGTCCCTGGCAAAGAATGGACATTTTCCAATGGGGACACTAGTTCTGGTGACCTGGAAGTCCCCAATGAATTTCTTTAATTTGTAGGGATTTTCCCTCACTTCCTGTTTGGGCTATGGGACAGGAAATGAAGGTAAATCTCCCAAATGGGACACAGATCACAAAAAATTAAACTGATGGGTTAAAACCCTTGCTTACTCTATCCAAAGTGAAAAAAAGTTTTGCCTACACTTCTACTTTAAAACTAAAGCCAACTACATACAGATGGAAATATAGCATAATGGCCATATATATACCTCCCTTTTCTGTATGATCATTGTTCACAGTCTTTAAATGGGCAATATAACAGAGTGGATATATCATTAGAGAATACCTTAGCTGATTGACAATGCCAGTTCCCTGGCAGTCACACTGATGTTCTTGGCTTTAAAGTAGATCCCTAACAAGTACAGAGATGAGAAATTCTGATAATCATTTACAGCATGCTTGTGCTGGGTTTGTGACTCAAAAGATGCTGAAGACAGTCAGCCAGCCAAGAAACATTTTTAGTAGGAGACCAGCAATGGCAGCCCTTGTGCTTCCCTCATGACAATGTCACATTAAAATCCCTCAGACCTAATAATCCTATATTCTGTACGAACATAGAAAAACTTTGGCACACAAAAAAGTTAAATATATATATATATATATTAAAAAAAACCTGTATCTATAGAAAACTGTTGGACTGTAAGGGCCAAAGTTATATTTTGCGTAAGAACTGCATCTCTCAATACACAAGGCTGTAAGAATACAAAAGCCGCTTGAAGCAGTAAACTGCAGGTCACAAGAATGTTAACTGCAGGTCAAATGGACCAGTCAATGAGCTCTAACTAATATCAGATTAGAATATGTATGAAATTTCAGAGAAAATCTGGGTGTTAGCAGACCTGTTTCCCCAATGTGCCGGAAAACTGAGAAGGCCTTTACTTTGAGAGAATCTGCAGACTAGTCCTGGTTGGTGATATTTGGAACCATCAGTGGAGTTTGGTAAAGGTATGCCTATATATGATCAGCAATAGACTAAATAGAGCCCCGAGGTAGATACGTGTCCATATCCTGCCCCTGTTTAAAACTTGCAGTGTTCCCCATTCGTTTGACCATTTCCTTGAAGGTAACAATGCAGTTTTCCCCCCATTTAGATGTAATATAGTTTAAAACAAAGCTTTGCTGAGCCCGTCTACAATGCAATCTTAAGCCCCAAATACACTATCAGAATATCATACGAAAAATGCCGCTTTTAGAGCGATTGTACAATAATCTAATCGTTCGTACACAGCAATCATCCGAAAAAAAATAGAAGGGACAAGCACAGTCGTTTAACCAGTATAGTAGTCGTCTGAAATACAATACATTCTTCAGAATTTTTATTCTGTCAAAGAATTTTCGTAACTTTAGTAACTTCTTCACTTTTGATATTAGACTAGTATACAGGAAAAAAGAAAAACAGACAATCATTCGTCGGATATTCTAAAACGTGTATACGGGGTATTAGGCTCAGTGAATGTAACACAATGTGTTGTACTGGAAATTCAGTGCTACCTCCACTACAGCTTTTCGGTGTTCCAAGCTAGCAGGATACACCTTAAAAGAACAAATTCCCTTACACTGATTCACAACAAACATTTGGAAGAATTCAAGCAAGAATACAAAACTGTAAAGACCACAGAAAAAGAAGTCATAAGAACCTAGAGAAAAGAGAAGAGGAATGCGCTGGGTTAGCCTGCGGGGTTAGACTGTCTTTGCAGGCAAGGGTTACCTGATATCTCGCCAGGGGACAGCCCAGTCCGTCCGATGTTCGGGAGTAAATGGTCAATATTGGGCACTGGCTGGCTGTCTATTGTGCCCTCCTCCTGGGCTGATGTCTACAGTTAATAAACAGAGATCTCTTGAACATCGTTACACGCATAGACTTAGTTCTATTCTTAAGAACTGAACATAATGGATGCCAGAAAACATAAGATCTATCTATAGTGCCAGATGAATGCAACCTTACAATTGATTGAACCATTTAACAGTTTATTTCCACATATTAAAAAAGAAAATAAGGGTAAAAAATAAAGTGTTATCAACATAGTTTACCACAATAGCAAAAACCAAGAAAACAGGAGGCAGGAGAAATAAATGATGAAAAAAAATTAAAAACAGATATAAAGTAAGATAAGAGACAATTCAATCTTTGCTGAGAAAAAAAGCATCTTCTTTGAGCTTGGCTCTGCCCCTTCCACTTCCGGAGTCTCTCTTTTATATATTTAAATGACCATTGCAAGAAACAATAAGGTGATGAGAGGGGCAAGGCCAAGCATGACCAACAGAAAAAGTCAAGAACTGCTTAGAATTTCAGCTGTCTATATCTCGAGATCTAATGACCAATATAACACTGCTGACAAGGTCTCCTGAGAGCGGCTTCATTCTTTTACCTATACAACCCTTTTAATGTGATCGCATATGCAATGTCTATCATTTTTAGTCCTAAAGCCCAACACCGAGAATTTAAAAATTCCAAACTTGTAGTGGTCCCTCTCCCCTGCAATGGGTAAATGCTTGTTATATCAATGTGATTTACCGTAGGTTAAACATCTGTGCGGGTGGTGCCGCTGCGGATCCGCACAAAAATCCGTGCAGCCGCACCACCCACACAGAGAAATGCGGACCCACGGGTGGTGCCATTAGTTCTGATGGCATGCTGCCCGCACTGGAAAACTCAACTGTACTGGGAACCGAGGTTCCCGTGCGGGCTGCGTTTTCCATAGAAGTGCTGGGACTTCTTCCCTGCGTGTCACGGGCACGGGACTCCATCCTAATGAATGGGTTTTCGTGCCCGTGCAAAACGCGGTCCACACGGCCGCATATATGTGCACCGGGGGTAAAGAATAAGATGTGGAGCATGACCTCACACCCCTGCTCTCCTCCTCAGCCCAACACTCTGGAGTCTCAGTGTTGTCCTGTACAATACACAGATATTGCCTCTGTATGGTATGCCGAGTAGACTGAAGTACAACCAAAGCCAGTTGTAGTCTATGGAGGTGGCTGTGGACAAGAGGTTGGAGCACTGGAAGGACCCTGCTGGAGCAAGGAGTGAGGCAAGTATTTACACCCTATTCATGCACCCCAGGGCATACCGAGCATTTAACCCTTGCTGTACAGGTGGGCTCCACTGCAAGGGTGGATTTTTTTAAATTGTTAAGCTTTATAAGTTAGCATTTAATTTACAGATAGCTGGTAAAGGTATGGGCAAGTTTCATGACTGATCATTATGTGTTTATTGATTCAGCACCAAAATGTGTCTGCAAGATGATCATCTCTGTCCACCTGTGTAAAGTATATCTGTCAATCAATGCAATTATGACAATATCTAGATCTTCCTATCTGGTAGTCATGGCACTATCTTTGTCTCCTATTAATAAGACTACCAGGGGTGCCAATAAATGAATCACTCAGGCTTGGTTCCATAGTGCCAGATTTGGGACAGACAGCCCAAGCTATATTTGCAAATACCATATTACATTTTTCAGAAAGCAGGAACATTTTAAAATCTGCCAAAATTCAGGTAAAAGGTTTTTTTTTTTTGGAGAGAGTAGGGGAATGATAATAATCTTTTATCACTGTACTATTTGGAAACATTTCCCCCAACTTCCTGTCTTGGTGACAAATGTCAGCACAGTAAGAGAAGAGAAATATCTTCTATGGTACACAAATCGCTCCTAAAACCAGGGAGGGGTTCCATATACACTCCAACAACGTTTTGGCTTAAACCTTTTAGCCCATGGAAAGATCTGAGAAATGACAACTAGAAAAGCATTTGTGTATTTAGTCTACAAATTCCAATTGATTGTATAACTATGCCACATAAACACTGCCATACTGTCTGTGTGCTTTTATAGAATATTAGTTATCCAGCATGCAGGCTTGTAAACCATTGTTGGGTCCTGCATTTCACACACGTTTATTATGTTTATCAGTACTGCAGCTATCAACAAATTCCAAACATTCCCCCAATCAGGCATGAAGTTCGAGACATGCCATTCTCCAGACATTGTCTCTTAAGAAAAAGACACAAACCCAGTACAATACTTACAATTGGCTCATCTCCACTCTCCTCTCCGAAAAAACCAGTCATGCTGAGAACAGAAAGAAAAGATCATTTAGAGCCCTCAATCCCAGAAAAGAAAATGCTGGCAATAAGGATTACCCATTGACTTACGCGCAGAATGAGGGTCTCCACGATCTTATACTGGTCGGGCATGTGGGTGACCATGTGTGTCATATTATCTTCTGACGTTCTCACCAGAGTTGGGCCAAATACGATGGCCAGGTTTTTGGGCTCCATCTAGTAAATGAGAACAGAGTTTAAATGAATTGCAGAACATACTACAAAAGGATATGATGGTTCACCTACCAATGAGCATCATGATGGACACATCTGTACTTGCTGTGTTATTTTGCCCAGGAATACATTTTCATTTAATTGAATACCCTGTTTGTGATGTAACCTTGGCAAGAGGGGTTCAGCAAAATTACTAAACATAAGCTGCCACACCAAGTAGATAGCACCCTTTACACTGATATTTTTTTTTTTTTAAGGGCCTGGTTCTTCATACCACCTCTACAAGGGAAAATGTTCTAAAAACTGGATATTGTACATTGGATAGAGTCCAGCGAAATGGCAATATAAGGCAGCCATGTGCTGGTTTCAATAAGTCATTTACAATAAATTATAAACCAACAGCCACACTGAAAGTGCAGCAAATGTCTCCATCTAAACAAGTACCAAATCCAGTTACTGCAGTATGTGATGCACAAGTCTTATCAACTAAACAAAAAGAAACTCCTTTACCTTCCATGACTGAGCCAAATCCTCCATTTGTGTCTCACACACTCCCACAGTGGGGCTTTCATTTTTAACCACTTCAACCCCAAGCCATTTCTGGCACTTTTTGTTTACATTTTAAATCAGTATTTTTTTGCTAGAAAATGTGTTTGAAACCCCAAACATTATATTTTTTAAAGCAGAGGCCCTAGAGCAGGGGTCCTCAAACTTTTTAAACAGGGGGCCAGTTCACTGTCCCTCAGACCGTTGGAGGGGCCGGACTATAGTTTAAAAAAAAAAAAAAAAAACATAGTACATGAGATGACCAGAGACTGCGGACATAGTACATGAGATGACCAGAGACTGCGGACACAGTACATGAGATGACCAGAGACTGCGGACACAGTACAGGAGATGACCAGAGACTGCAGACACAGTACAGGAGTTGACCAGAGACTGCAGACACAGTACAGGAGATGACCAGAGACTGCGGACACAGTACAGGAGATGACCAGAGACTGCAGACACAGTACAGGAGATGACCAGAGACTGCAGACACAGTACAGGAGATGACCAGAGACTGCAGACATAGTACAGGAGATGACCAGAGACTGCGGACACAGTACAGGAGATGACCAGAGACTGCGGACACAGTACAGGAGATGACCAGAGACTGCGGACATAGTACAGGAGATGACCAGAGACTGCGGACACAGTACAGGAGATGACCAGACACTGCGGACATACAACGGCGGCGGGAATACTGGGCCGGCCACTCCATAAGACGCACAGACATTTACCCCCAAGTGTGCCTTATGGAGAGGAATAGTGCCCCATCATTGGTGTCAGTGGGAACAATCGTGCCCCATCATTGGTGTCAGTGGGAACAATCGGTGCCCCATCATTGGTGTCAGTGGGAAGAATCGTGCCCCAACATTGGTGTCAGTGGGAAGAATAGTGCCCCATCATTGGTGTCAGTGGGGGGAGGAATAGTGCCCCATCGTTGGTGTCAGTGGGGGGTGGAATAGTGCCCCATCGTTGGTGTCAGTGGGGGGTGGAATAGTGCCCCATCGTTGGTGTCAGTGGGGGGTGGAATAGTGCCCCATCGTTGGTGTCAGTGGGGGGTGGAATAGTGCCCCATCGTTGGTGTCAGTGGGGGGTGGAATAGTGCCCCATCGTTGGTGTCAGTGGGGGGTGGAATAGTGCCCCATCGTTGGTGTCAGTGGGGGGTGGAATAGTGCCCCATCGTTGGTGTCAGTGGGGGGTGGAATAGTGCCCCCATCGTTGGTGTCAGTGGGGGGTGGAATAGTGCCCCATCGTTGGTGTCAGTGGGGGGTGGAATAGTGCCCCATCGTTGGTGTCAGTGGGGGGTGGAATAGTGCCCCATCGTTGGGTGTCAGTGGGGGGTGGAATAGTGCCCCATCGTTGGTGTCAGTGGGGGGTGGAATAGTGCCCCATCGTTGGTGTCAGTGGGGGGTGGAATAGTGCCCCATCGTTGGTGTCAGTGGGGGGTGGAATAGTGCCCCATCGTTGGTGTCAGTGGGGGGGGGGAATAGTGCCCCATCGTTGGTGTCAGTGGGGGGTGGAATAGTGCCCCATCGTTGGTGTCAGTGGGGGGTGGAATAGTGCCCCATCGTTGGTGTCAGTGGGGGGTGGAATAGTGCCCCATCGTTGGTGTCAGTGGGGGGTGGAATAGTGCCCCATCGTTGGTGTCAGTGGGGGGTGGAATAGTGCCCCATCGTTGGTGTCAGTGGGGGGTGGAATAGTGCCCCATCGTTGGTGTCAGTGGGGGGTGGAATAGTGCCCCATCGTTTGGTGTCAGTGGGGGGTGGAATAGTGCCCCATCGTTGGTGTCAGTGGGGGGTGGAATAGTGCCCCATCGTTGGTGTCAGTGGGGGGTGGAATAGTGCCCCATCGTTGGTGTCAGTGGGGGGTGGAATAGTGCCCCATCGTTGGTGTCAGTGGGGGGTGGAATAGTGCCCCATCGTTGGTGTCAGTGGGGGGTGGAATAGTGCCCCATCGTTGGTGTCAGTGGGGGGTGGAATAGTGCCCCAT